ATAGGAAAATATCTTACATCTAAGCCAACACAAATTATGTTTAGGTTCAGACCCTATAAGCATTCCCTTTAAAATCAAGAATAAGAGAAGGATACATGCAAACACTGCTATTATTGCCTACAGATCCTAAACTATTGCATAAGACAAGAAAAAAGCTACAGACATAACTTAGGAAGAAACACTATTGGTTTGCAGATCATATGATCGTGTGTATGGGAAATCCAGGATAATCAAATGAAAAACTAGAACCAATAATGAAAAAAGATTACTTTCACAAACGCATCAAAAAACATATCTAGGAATATCTAATACCTAGAGAAATTGAAACTACAAAATTATGTTTAAGGACACAAAAGATTTGAATGAAAATTGATAAATGCACCACATTCCAAGATTTCCATTCTCCCCAAATTTATAAATTAATTTCAATGAAATCCAAATATAAACCCCAATGAGACATTTTCCCCCATTTTGGAACTTGAAAACAGGCTAATTTCTTTTTCTTTCTTTCTTTGTTTTTTTTTTTCCTTTTAAAGAGATGGGGTCTCGCTACGTTGCCCAGGCTGAAGTGCAGTGGCTAGCCACAGGCACCATCATAGCACACCCTAAAGCCCCAAACTCTTGGGTGCAAGTGATCCTCCTGCCTCAGCCTTCCCAGTAGCTGGGATTTTTAAGTAAACAGAAAAGCTCTTTCTTTTTGAGAAAGTAGAATAATGAAAGTGTACTGGCTTAAGAGGTATCTAAACATACCATTAAGTTTCTGGTAGACAGACAAACAGACCAAAGCAACAAAATAGGTCCAGTAGTTGAGTAACAGATCTGGACTCGTGTCTGTTTAGAATATGACATTGTTGGCACATGAAATCAATGGGAAAAAAATGCAAAATATATACCCAAAACACTGTTGACAACCACAATATAAAACAATTATAACTCAGTTTTTAAAAAAAGACAAACAACCTAGTTAAAACAAAAACAAACAAAAAAACCAAGCTAATTCACAGAAGGAACCGGAATGTCCAATAAACATGAAAAGATATTCAACCTGAACCAATAATCAAATAAATACAAAATTACTACAGGTTTGCGCTGCAATACCCAGCTGGGTTTTTTTTCCTTGTTTTTTTTTGCTAGAGACAGGGGTCTCACTCTTGCTCAGGAATTCCTAAGCTCAAGCAATCCTCCCACCTCAGCCTCCCACAGTGCTAGAAATACAGGCTTGAGCCAGGCCTCCCACAGTGCTAGAAATACAGGCTTGAGCCACTGCACGGGGTCCAAATAAATACAAAATTAAACAATATAGGCCCAAATAAATATAAAATTAAACAATATAGGCCCAAATAAATACAAAATTAAACAATAGCTAGTGTTATTAATATTAAAAGCATGGGAAAATT